TAACAAAGTAAATCCACCAGCACAAGCATTTCTCCTTGCCCAATGGAACTTGCCCTCCCCGCCTCCTCTCTCCATGCTCCCTCCCACCCAAATATGCTCTGGAGCAGGGGCCGGAAACCTGAGGCCCACGGAGGTGGTTTAAACGGCCCCCGAGCCACCCCCAAACCGAGCCGCCCAGTCGGAGAGTCCCTGCACACTGCGCTAAACCAGCACAGCGCGGAGCAGGAACTTGCTTCCGTGGTGTTGAAAATCACGTCTGCTGCGCAGATGCCGACACCGGAAATTGCGTCTGCGCAGACGCGATCCAGCCCACGGAGCGATCTCCATGGGAGTGAACCGGCCCAGGTGAGGTAAACCTTGCTGACCCCTGCTCTGGAGAGTTCAGGGAACCCCCAGAACAGATCTGGGGTCATGGGGAGCACATAGCGAGAGGGGAAGTTCCATTACACAGCTGAAGTCTGCTCTGTTGGGATGCCATGCGCTGAAATTAATGGACCTAAGTTAGTCATTATCCATCAGTTTCAATGGATTTTGAGTACAACTCACATTAGATACAAATCCCATGTTTGCAGGCAGATCTATTATGTGGCCACAACTCACCTTCTCTTTTTGTACAAGAGGCAAAAGGTATGGAACGCCACCCACGTCGGCGATTCTAGGCTTGCCACAAATACCTGTAAGGCGACCAAAAGAGTTTAGTTTCTTCAGAAAGCTGGGGCCAATGGTGGGGAGTCCAAGAACATCTCGAGGGAATATGCTCCCTATCAGCAATTTAGCGCCATTATGAATCTGCACTAGCCAGTGGGGGGCAAATAATAGGGAAGTCGCTATCTCTGTGCTCTGCTTGTCAGGGTGAGACTCCATCAGGCAAGGCCTCCTTCCACCTGCCTTGCCCCACCCTCCAGTCTCTGCTTCTCATTTTGTACTGTATTAGGTTGTGCACTGTGGTTTGCTGTGCTTTATTGATTGGAGTTTAGAAATTACTTGTTGTAACTGTTAAGAGTGGATTTCTGTTTAATTTTGAAATGCTGATATTTAATAGTGGTCCCGGGTCCTAAGGAAGTTAGATTAGCCTCAACCAGAGCCAGGGCCTTTTCAACACTGGCTCCGGCCTGGTGGAACGCTCTGCCTCATGAGACCAGGGCCCTGCAGGATCTGTTTTCTTTCCGCAGGGCATGTAAGACTAGAGTTGTTCCGCCTGGCCTTTGGCTTGGAGCCAATTTGATTCCCTCCCCCTCTTTCTTTTTCCTTTCTCCTCCTGTGATGAGGCTGCATTTTAATATTTTAATGTTGTATTTTAATCTTGTTTTTTAAGTTGTATTCATTCAACTTGTTTTTATTATTGCTTGTTAGCCGCCCTAAGCCCGGCCTTGGCTGGGGAGGGCGGGGTATAAATAAATATTATTATTATTCATATTTAATATTATTCTATATTATTTTAATGAATGTTGAATGTTATTTTACTTGCGTATTGTATACTGTATTATGCATATTGTCTTATTTATAATGTTAGCTGCTCTGAGCTCAGCTTTGGCCAGGGAGGGCGGGATGCAAATAAAATTTATTATTATTATTTGGCCGGCAACTGCCGGACATAGTTTAGTAGAGAAAACAGATCACTAGTATAAAATGCAGAGGCTTTCTTCTTCAAGCACAGCCATTAAGGGCTCCATCTTCTCCCAACTTTGAGACAATGATAAACCAAAGGAATCTCGAACTTATGACATGTTTGCAGCATTGGACCTGCCTATGTTATATCAACATCCCCACCGCCCCCATTTCAGGTTGTATCATTATGTAAATCAGTGGGGAGCTTGTGGTCTGCAAGGTGTTGTTATACCACAACTCCCATCAGGCCTAGCAAGAACACCCAATAGTCAGGAATTATGGGAGTTGTAGACCAGTACTTTTTAATTTTTTGGGTGGGATAGGGACTTCCCTATCCCTGGAAGTATCAGTAGGCTCAGAGGAATCCTGGAGTGTTTTGGAAGTGATTTCTTTTTTTAAAAAGAACCCCCCCCCAAGAAAAGTGGTTACACTCAAAAACATCCCAGTGGGGACCATGGACATAGCTAGGGGGGGCAGCTGCTCTCCCTAGATCAAGTAAAACAATAAAACTACTTAACTGAGGTTCCGTCCCCACACAACATAAATGCTGTCTGCACCCAAGATGGGGACTATGGGGACTAGATATGCTCAACACAATGAGGATTAATTTTTTGAAGAGGGTAAGGAGACAAAAGTGGGAGCAGGGGAAGAAGAGGAACGCAATGGAGTATCCTGGAAAAGGACGTGGCTGGCTGGCACCTTCAACAGAAGTACTCTGTGAAATAGATATTTCATAGATTTCACTAATTACCTTTAGCAGGAAATGTGAAGGGTTCTTTAGTCAGATCAGGGCAGTCCACTACAGAAACCTGAACATCTGCAAAGTTTTCTTTAAGTCCATTTTGCAAAACTAGAAGAAGGTAAAGAGTGGATTATTACTGTTGTCTTTAGAAATACTTAGGACAAGCTTTTTCTGCAATGAAACGAAACAAAAAGCACCAACTTAGCAAGGCAAGGATATCGCATTAAAATGCGCACCCAACATTCAAACGCCTTCTGGGTGGTGCAATAGTTGTGCAAGAAAGTTTAGTTATTTGTTGCCTCTTCTCATTAGGCATAGATATGGGACTAGTGGAGAGAGAAAGGTTTTTCTCCCTCCCTAGAACTCTTGGACATCCCAAGAAACTGCATGTTGGAAGAGGCAGGACAGAGAAAAGAAACTACTACTTCATGCAGCTCATCGTTAAACTATGGAACTCACTTCCACTGGAGACTCCAGAGGTTTCCCCTCCCATTTCGTACGTCACAACATTTCTGTAACATCTACTCACCTCCAACAAGTTCTTCAAGGCTAGGTATATGAAAAGCAAACATCTCAACATTGGCCATCTTTTTCTTATTTCATGAAGCAAACTCAACAGCTAAGCTGTGGAGAGATCAGAGTACACCCTAGAACAGCTTACAAGGTCTGTTAATGAACACATAAGTTTAGTGATTAAATACAAGCTGTGAGTGTTTGCACAGGCTTTTTACAATATACCTTTTCAGTTACTATTTGGGATACAGGCAATGCGCATGTTATGTGAGGCTGCATCCTGAGTAACTAGAAACCTAGCTGTGCAAATAGTCCATTTTCAAGGCTGCACATTTCCCAAGCTTTCAACATGTCTATTTTTCCCAGCTGCTCTCTGAAATCTTGTTCCCTTTCCATTCTCTCTGACTAAGAGGGTTACGAAACTCAGCAGCCTGACACTGCTCCATTAATCATACACCAAATAAAAGAACAACACATTGCTGGGTTTGCATTTAGCACCAAAATTACCATTTTCTTCCAACCACTAATTTATACAAACCACTATCATGTTCTCCCATTTGCAGCTTTGCTCAGACGCATATCCTATTAAATTCAATGGGGTTTACTTCCAGCTAAATGGGATTAGGATTGCAGCCTTAGCCTCACACTGAAAGGATAGGGGCAGTAGGCTAATTTCTGACACACAAAAATGAGGAGAATAGCACCTGGACATTTTGTCTTGTCTCAGATTCTACAAATTAGCATAATTAATGTAATCTAGGGGTTGTGGTTCATGGGATGGAGGGGACAACATCCTCACCTGGATGCACCTGTCACTCACCCAACAACTGCCTTATGTGGTTTCCTCAGTGTGTTTCTGGGACGAAGGTTGCAGTTATCCATTAACAAGGCAGTGCAACCTTAAGGCCTGCTCAGAACTCCTGGTCCCTCTGAGTTCAGTGCAAACCTGCATAGGTCTACACAGAGGTAAGGCTCGTTTCCAACAGAGTTTACTCAAAGGTCCATATAGTTAAAGCTATGGTTCTCCCAGTAGTGATGTATGGAAGTGAGAGCTCGACCATAAAGAAGGCTGATCGCCAAAGAATTGGTGCTTTTAAATTATGGTGCTGGGGGAGACTCTTGAGAGTCCCATGGACTGCAAGAAGATCAAACCGATCCATTCTGAAGGAAATCAGCCCTGAGTGCTCACTGGAAGGACAGAGCGTGAAGCTGATGCTCCAATACTTTGGCCACCTCATGAGAAGAGAAGACTCCCTGGAAAAGACCCTGATGTTGGGAAAGATGGAGGGCACAAGGAGAAGGGGACGACAGAGGACGAGATGGTTGGACAGTGTTCTCAAAGCTACCAGCATGAGTTTCACCAAACTGTGGGAGGCAGTGGAAGACAGGAGCGCCTGGCGTGCTCTGGTCCATCGGGTCACGAAGAGTCGGACACGACTAAACGACAACAAAGGGAGAATGGGATTTCAACGCTAACCACAACGTTGTAGAGTTGGAAGGGATCCTAAGGGGCATCTAGTCCAAATTAACAATTAACAAATTGCTTAAGCCCAGTTCCATGTTGCATGGCTGCAACTCGCTCTAGGCACCTCGGGTGGGCAAGAAGTTTAAAAAAAGCTGACAATAGTTAGCAAAGCGCCTGGGTTTGCAGCCTCGCCTTACAAACCCACGCCCAATTCCTCAGGCAGTCTCAATGAGCAAAACATGCATTGCATTTCAGCATGCATCCCCCCCAACCCGTGCAAACACCGCGCCCCATGGCTGCTTCAACTTACAGGAATGCAAACTTCACCTCCCTGCTCCCGTCTCAAGTTCCTTTCTCTGACTGCCTCTTTCCTAGGGCAGCGTCACCTGCCCCTCGTCCAATCACCTCGCAGCTGGAGCGCCGCACCCAGCCACGCCCATTTCTGCCCGTCGCCGCTCTCAAGATGGAGGCTGCTCCTTCCGGCGCATGCGGTCCCTTCCTCCCATCGGCGCCCAAACCGAACTCTCGCGAGACCTGGGAAAAGCCCAGAGTACTTAAGCGGCCCGGCGGCGCTTGCGCGGCCTTGTTGAACCGGTAAAATAGAGGAGGTGGGTTGCGGCAATCGGTCGGCATCGGCTCGGTTGGCGGCCTGTGGGGAGATAGGCCTGTTGCGAAAAGGTTTAGGGGCGCTTAACGTAGGATGTGGGTAGGATATTGAGGGGTGAGGGGGAACTATAAAAGGTGAAAGGCCTGGATCCCCCCCGCCGCCGCCGCTTTTCCGTTGCCTTCAACGGTTAAGGATGGGCCTGGGCTAGTCCTGGTTGGTAGTCCGGGGAGCCGAGGGCGGGTTAATGCTCGAGAACAGCTTTAGCACATAAATAGAAAGGGTTTGGGAGGCGATCCGTGTTTACTGTTAAATCCTGACTTTTCTCCTAAAGGGCGCAAGGTGGTGATCTTAGAGTAGCTTGACGGGGTGTAAATGAATACAACAATCCTGCGAGGTGGGCTAGGTGGAGAGATCAGTAACAGGGCCAAATCATGGGAGTAAACCATGGATGTGTGTCTGGGGATTTGAATGCAAAGGGCTGACCTCGCTGCGGCACCAGGCTGATTTAAACAAACTCATTGGATTGAGCTGGCCCACCTCTTAACATGCCTTGGTAAATATGTGGAGGATTGAAAAGAACTATATCATTGTGTATTTATAATATATGAGTGCCTGACGTACACTTGAGGCAGCTTAAAAATAAAATAGGAACAGCTGAAAATGGGAGGGAGGGAAATGTTACTGGAATTAAATTATGATCTATTAACAACATACAGGTAATGAACAAAATTTTGCTATTTTATGGAGGATGCTCTGCAGATTTAATTTGTGAAAATCCCACTGGATATTATGGGTGGATTTATTTTGACCTCATCAGAGTGTGCTAAGAGCCTCTGTGATTATACCAGTAAAGTACTGGTATATGTGTATCATTAGGGACACCTTTTCAGTAACTGATGCTTGGGTACTTAAGGCTTTTTCACACCTTTGGGTTGTGGTAACTTGATCAATTGGTAGCAAAAGATAAATAAGTCTAGATTAAATGCATTTTAAATGGCTAAGAAGCCTGTGTTGGGCAAATGGATAGTGTGAGATTTCTTTGAAAATACAACCAGACTTGTTTTAGGGACTGAAATCCTGAAGTTGCCTTAATAATTTAGCGAATAGTTGATGTGCGTACCTGACTCCTAGTACAAACTAGAAACAGAATTTAGCTGATATTGCTGAAGGCAAAAACTCAATTGTTGAGCAATGCTGAAGACCACCAGCAGTCACGCTTCCCAAGACTTGATACAGATGCCAGCATGCTCAATTGGAGTTTGTTCTGATGAGCACCCAGATTTCGGAATCATGGTTCTTTTATCCTTTTTTTTTGGTATGTAAATATATCAAAAAAGTGGCCTACACTGAAGATGGTAATTAAGGTTAGAGTCTGATTAAATGGTTTCTGTATTTCAGATATAACCTGTAAAAGATAAAACCTGTTCACTGTCCTTCAGCTTTAATCAATTCTCCCTCCATCTGTGTAAGGGCTTTGCTACTTATATTAATGCATTTCCATCTACATTCTTCTTTTAGTGAGACCCCATGATAAACTGTTTCCTGGCCGGCAAGGCTTTCTCCATGGCACCCATATACTCAATCTTGCCTTTTTGCCCAGTGGGTCTGCAGTATGACTGATGGTGACAAGGTCTGCAACAGTAAAATGATAAAATAATTAAAAGATCAGCAGTATGTAAAGTTGACAAAAATGGGAGTAGATAGACTGTAAAACTGTACAAGAAACAGTTTAGGAAGAATCTACCTTGTCCCTGTAGGCTTATTGAAAATGAAGGCTGCAACCTTTCCTAAGCACTAATAGGAAACACAACCTCATGGGCTCTGGAGGTGTGGGGTCACTGCTGTAAATGCACTCTGCTAAAGATTTTCTGTATTAGACTGGTATGCTCTGATCTAAATAGATTGACTAAAATACCATCAAAGAGCAATCATTTTCTTTCATTGTTTCAACAGGAGTAACTGGTTTGCATTCACTAAAGCCCTGAAAGAAAATGAAAGCTATGCTGCCAGCAAGTCTCGTTGGTCAATCTCCTGAGAGTCCATCTGGCAATAAAACACAGAATGGCTCTCTAAAGCCTAAGTTGCCCAAACCTAAACTTGACCTCAGAGCCCTCTTTGACTACTTCAGAAGGAAGCAGCATCTGAAGAGGAGAAAGTGGAGGCCAAGCGCCAGGAAGAAGAAAGTCGCAAAGAAGAAAACTGCAAAATGTAAGGAGCGAGAAACTTGTGAGAGGAGACAGCAGCCAAGAGTCCCAGGAAAGAAACGGAAAAAGAAACTTACTGAGAAAGTTGTTAATTTTCCTTTTGTGGAGAGACTGTACGGTGTGAAACGCATTCCCTTTAGAATGGTGTGTCTGTATGAGGTAAGTAGCAGTTAAATTAGAGCAGAGGTTCCCAAGCTTATTTGGCCTACCGTGCCCTTTTCCGAAAAAAATATATTCCACGCACCCTTGGAAATTTACCTTTAAGTGAACAGACAGATTCAATGATAAATTTGCATTCTTTTATGTATGTATATTTACCTACATGGCGACGCGGGTGGCGCTGTGGGTAAAAGCCTCAGCGCCTAGGGCTTGCCGATCGAAAGGTCGGCGGTTCGAATCCCCGTGGCGGGGTGCGCTCCCGCTGCTCGGTCCCAGCGCCTGCCAACCTAGCAGTTCGAAAGCACCCCCGGGTGCAAGTAGATAAATAGGGACCGCTTACCAGCGGGAAGGTAAACGGTGTTTCCGTGTGCGGCTCTGGCTTGCCAGAGCAGCGATGTCACGCTGGCCACGTGACCCGGAAGTGTCTGCGGACAGAGCTGGCCCCCGGCCTCTTGAGTGAGATGGGCGCACAACCCTAGAGTCTGTCAAGACTGGCCCGTACGGGCAGGGGTACCTTTACCTTTATTTACCTACATCCTGCAACATAGTAAAGAAAGATGATGTTATAAAATAAGACACCTTGAAGCTTGAAATTATAAAATTGTTAAAATCAACCAGAGTAACATTCACAATATACACAGAAATGAAATAAAAATTATGAACAACCTTTAAAATAATCCTAATGAGAAGGATGAACCTAGTACGCTGCTGTCAGTATATTGATGTTTGGATCTACTTTTGTCAGTATTTTTCAATCACTGCAGTTAGCAGTTTGCAGTAGATTTCTTTTTTAAGGTAACCTGTGTTTGTGTTTATTTGGAAAATGAAGTTTGGGAACTTGGGGAAACTGATTTAGAGAAAGCAACTATATACAATAATGCTCTGGTCTTTTGTACTGCATAGTGTTAATAATTTGCTTCCTGAGTAACAAACTTGATTGGGAAAAACTGCTTTGCAGTTGAAAGAAAGCCTCATTGGTACACTGCATAATAAATCAAATTTGTTGGCTTTGAGAATCTTTTGTCCGGGTTTATGTTCATAGAGCAAATTTCTTCTCTCCCAGCAAGCAGCTTTAAATGGATACTTCAGATACATTGAAACGCTGAAATTGGAGAAGCTCATGGAAAAATCTTTGACGCAGTTGAATGCTGTGGATGATCTAGAAAACGAAAGCCTGGAGTCAAGAAAGTACAAATACGTGGATGAAGATGAACCTCTTTCTCCCATTGTGGAGACAAAGTATGTATAATTACGCTTTCTAAAGCTCTGTGTCACATCTGTGCACTCTGTAGAAACTTCAATGCAAGGGAAGAGTTGAAAATGGGAATCTGCTGATCTACGTCCTGCTAAGCCATCTTCCTCAACCCTTGCTTGTATCAATAGTTGATTGTTCACAGCGCTTAGATTATACCATAGAAAGTATACTCCTCCTATGGACACACCCAGAAATTATACTTTGAGAGAAACAGATAAAAACCTATAAATCTCTTGAGAATGTGTCTGACATGTGGCACGCTTTCAGAAACATCAGGATTGCAATGTTGTAACGTGCTTCCTATTTAATGAATGTATTCTTGCAGATTTTACAGGAACACACATTAATTCTTTAGTTTCTCAGTGGACGGGAATAAAATCCTTCCAGGTTCAGACTTACTACAAGATGCAGTCCTGAAATGAAAAGGTTTCAGTAACAGCCTGTAGACCCAGCTCGGATTAGGTGGCAATTGGGCCAGTAAGAAACTAAGTGAGCATTGTGCAGTGGCAAAGAGAATTACGAATTCAGGTCCCTCTGGGCTGAACCACATCTCTCTGCCTTTGGCTCCCCATTTACAGTAGGGAGGATAATACTGACACCTTGCACTCTGTATAGGGGAGTTGTAGAAATTATAAGCAGCAAATGCACAGGAAGCACTTTGAAAGCTAGAAAGCGCTATATGAATTATTCGATGTTTCTATTCTCATATACAACTTACATACAAATAACTGGGCAATTGCTGTATTTCAGTGGAGATGACCAAACTGAGAGTTCTGCAGATAAAGAAGAAATAGGTGCCAAGATAGTGGTAAGTCTTCGCTGACTTAAGTCAATCGCTTTAACTCAGTGGTTTTCAACCAGTGGACTGCTGCTCCCTGGGATGCCTTGAATTATTGTCAGGGGTGCCACAGGCAACACTAGCCTCCTTCCCTCTTTCCTCCTCTCCCTGTCTGCCTCCCAAAGGCTTGCATAGCTGTTTGTTGCAGCAGCCCTGGCTACAAGCTCCCCAGGTGAATGCTGCCTTTGGGGCTGGTTGGGGTGCTGGAAGCCAGGAGCTGAAGGAGCATTGGAGTAAGCAATCAAGTGGGCTATGAAGCTCAGCCAGCCATTGCTGTTTGGTATGGACAGACAAATCCTAGGCCCCTGTGGGGCAGTGTGAGGAGGCACCTCTCTTTGGGGCAGGTGGGACAGAGGCTGCCCGGAGGACTCCCAAGGAGAGGGGAAAGGAGGCTGAGGGAACACTCCACGAGGGAGGGTGTTTGAAAAAGGGTGAGAGACTGCCAGCTCTGCAGGCAAGGGGTGACAGAACTGGGCTCCTGGGCCCCACGAGTGCCACAGAAACAAAAGTAGTTGGTCAGGAGAGGCGTGGACTCAAAAAGGTTGGAAACCTCTGCTTTAACTTGTTGAGATGATCTGCAAAACTCATAAGCTGCATTTCTCACTCCACTTAATTTGAGAACAATTCAATGAGATTTCAGACCTATCGTTTTGAAAGCTGTACTTTACTCACTCATGTATGCAGCATCAATACTTCTCAGCAGGACGTCCTGATCTTTGACTTTAGTGGTGCTGTGTGATTAAACCCTTTCCCCAACCTGCCTTATTTCTATAGCTTAGCTGGCAACAGCATCTGTGGGAGCTGGAACCCATACTTTGTATAGTGCCTCCCCTATTTTATGGTTGTCTTTTTCAGCTCTTACATGTGGCAGCCGTTTGGTTATGCCATGCTCCAATAGTAGCCATTTTTTAATCTAAAAAAAGCCATGGGTGGTACTCCACACTAGTCCTACTCAGTGTAGACCCATTGAAGTTAATGGACACGACTAACTCAAATTTATTTCAGTAGGCCTGCTCTGAACAGGACTCATTTGAATAAAACCCCATGCACCTAGGATGTATAGTTATATAATTGTGTGTCAGGAATTAGCTTTGTAACGAGAAACTTCTGTATATTTGGTTGATTTGATCTCTATATTCACATGTTTGTGTGTTACATTTACCTTGTCTGTTTCTTTGCCATAGGAAAGCAGCTGTTTCATACTAAGTAGTGAAATTCCAAAGAAGACATGCAAGAGGAAGTCAAAGTAAGTGGGCCTTCTTACGGAATATAGCAAAGAAAGTAAGGAAGGAAATGAGCAAGAAGCTTCAGTAGTGGATGCCTTTAAATTAAAATGTTAAAATAACATGTCTTCAGACTTGGGCATGTTCTCACTAACCGTAGTTTAAATCAATCACAATTGGAAGCTGGAGATTCTGATCTTGCTGCTGCAATAAGGTGGAGAGTGCGTGCACACAAGACTGGTGCCTCTTCTGCCTAGATTCAAGTTGTGAGTTTTTCTTGCTTTACACTAGAGTAGGAGGGTAGTGATGGAGTTCTTCTAGACAGGCTATTAGCTGTGGTCATACGTTCCTTTAGCTAAGGGACGCTTTAACAAATGCTTTTGAGGCAGGTATTTCAGCAGCACTACTGTTCATCCCCTTGTTGACTTGATTCCAACAGGGTTTTTCTTGCAGATCTTACAGATAGCTTTTACAGTTGCAAGCTGCCTTGCTGAAAAGGTGGGCAAGGAATCTGTCATGGGGAGTTGACAAATTGCAGTTCTAGGGGCTGCCATCAGTGTATTGTTAAATATGTTGCCCCATTAACTAGGTGCAAAATCCAGCTTTATTGGACTCTGTAGTGTTAGCGAACATTCTTTTTTAAAGGGAACTTTTGTGTGCTGGGGTATTTTTTATTATGACCCCAGTAGGACTTCAGGAGAGTGCATGGGATTGTGGCCTGAGCCATTTAACAGCTAAATAGCTTCTGTGTAAATCTCATTACTTGAAAATGGCAATCAAACTATTGCATTACCTTAGTGTGTGTTGCTTACTTGGGGCTTTCTAAGTTTCCTAAAAGCAGGAGTTGGGCGTCTAATCTAGCAAGATGTGATAACTGGGTACTGCTCTTGGTAAGCTCTTCCCATCCCCAAAGTGCTTACCTGATCAGCCCCTTTTAATATGCAAAGCATGCACAGCTTATATGCTGCACATGTTCCTATCCTAACATTGCTTGACTTGATGAGTTACTAGATCTCAGCACAGTGTAGTAGCGTTTATCATATTCCATATACCTCATTTTAATCTAGAACAGTGGTTTGTTCTGGAGTAGTACCATCAGTGCCAGCAATCTTTTATTACCTGAAATGAGCGCCCTGGCATGAGGTAGTAGGATATAAATTTTTGGTGTGATTGTACTATTTTTTGTATTTTTTAGTAGTAGTATTTTATTAATATATTACCATGTACATGTAGGTGGCACTTCACAAGAACAGGTGTGACAGAGCCCTGCCCCCGGGAACATACAATCTTAAACAGACAAGGGAATGGAGGGAGGAGGAAAATTAGGCAGGGGGAGAACATGTGAATATTTCATTTTCCTGTACTTTGACTTTGCTGCAATAAGGTGTAACGATCCAATTGAGATATGAAGAAATGATCCAATTGAGATGTGAAGAAGAAGAACCAGATTTTTTTGGGGGGGGGGGTCCTAAATAGGAACGAAATGGAAAGAGAGGGCAGTTGGGTGTTGGTGTTCAAACCATGTGTATATTAACCAAGGACTTGACTGAGTAATCAATAAAGTGGCATTCATAAGTGATTCTGGATTCTGCACAATAGTTCATGTGATGACTGTTTTTCAGTTCAACTGCTGAGTGATTCAGAAATGAACTAAAACTTAACACTGACCAGAACTGAGTGCAGAAAGTGTTGCTTTGAGTATGCTTTAAGCACACAAATGGAGTGCATGTACATCTGGCAGTGTTGGGGGGGCGGGGGGAGATGCTTTTAGTAAAAACTTCAGGGGGGGGGAAAGCTGCCTGGACATAAATTTGATAAAATCAGCACACAGCATCAGAAAGGCATTTGAAGATGCCTGTAACGCTAAGGCCAGAGATCTTAAATTCAGTCTGAAAGCCTGAAGAACCACTGCTAGTCAATGCAGATGGCACTAGATAAATCAACAAACTATTTATGAGGTAGTTGAAGAGAATGCAGCCAAAGCTAAAAGTTTATGTATGTTTGACATGTGTTCCTCCAGCACTACCAGCAACTGAAGCTACTAATAGCCATAATAAGCAGTGGCTCTGAGAACATATGGAAGCAGCATTTGTCCGTGGCAGCAAGGAAGATGACTTCATCCACATTGGTTCCTATAGTTTGCAGCTAGCCTTGGATTTGTTCTGCTTCACCAGGTATCCTTTTTCCTTCACCGGTCTTTTCCTTAAGAGTGGCAAGAGCTATAGGAAAGCACAACACTAAACTCCTTAACTGGCCATGGTTGGTACATCTAAAGAACCATCCAAAAATTATGCTTGGCAAGAAATTTTAAATGTGAGCCCTGTATTTGCCGAAGGAGGCAGCTGTGCCATTGGTGTGTTCCTTGGTAACATTTACTATGTTCCGTTCAGTGTTAAATGTCCACATTTTAAAGATTTATGTGGGTCTGTGTTTTCACATGCTTTCTTGACACTGGGAATGGGACATTGCCGCTGACATGAACTGTAAACTTGTGAAAAGGCTACTGGAAGCAAAATCTAGTGTGGCACAATACGTTCCAGAAGCAGTTTCACCATAAAATACCAACCTTGCTTTTTCACTTGGCCTTCATCCCAACTGGAAAAGGGGGGGTGGGATGCTGGTTTGGCTGATCGTAGTTTTGTGTTTGGAGAATTTGGATGTTTGTCTGAATTGGTGATGACCTAGAGCAACCTGAAACTTTCAAGTAGGTAATAATAAGTTTAGACATTTATGCAATGTTTTTTCTACCTTGAGCACTTTGCTTATCAGCACAGCTTCGGGTTTTGGCTACTCTCATAGACAAAAAACCATGGAGTCAAGTGCTAAGAATAAATCCTTTTTTGCAACCCATAGCTGATCTGTATTGGCTGTGTTACTAATAGGAAGGAACATGACTTGTTAGTCCCTGGAATACTGTACTTTTTGCATAGGACAATTTGAGTTTTTCTGATATCCCATAAAAGCTCTTTATCTCAAAGAGGCCACAGGCAATTAGAGGATATAGTGGGGTGGTAATTCTTGTCAAATAGTGTTTGGTCACTATTTTGAATATTAGTAAGAAAGTTTGAAATAAATCCATTTCTAAGACTGCATTCCCAATTATTGTTTTCAGTGTTCTAGACAGTGACGGATAGGAAAAATCCCGGCTTGCAAAAGAGGTATGTTAAGATCCATTCATGTTCTGCATTGTGCTGTGTACCAGTTTGGAATACATCAGGGGGTAGAGGAATAAATTGATAAGTGCACTGTATGGTATCTGCATCCAGCAGTCTGTTCCTGATGGCATGTTCAAAAAGCAGTGCAATAATAATTCAGCATATGGCATCGTTGGTTCTCAAGCAACTGTGCTTGCTAAACCTGGTATTTTTGTTGAGACAAATTACATCTGTTATTTGAAGGATTTATAAAGTATGCAGTTATTTGATTCTAGTTTATTCTATGTTCTCTGGGTGGTTCTTCAAAGTTCTCCCATAAGCACAAACAAAAGGAACTTTTTGCTTTTGGAATACATTGTCAAAATACTTTTGGACTGATGGCTGAAAGCAGGAATCTGCATGCCTTTGGAGCTATTTTGGGTGGCATTATGGATTTGGTTTTCCTAAATCTGCCCATAGAAATGTGATTACAATCACATAATAACTTCATGTACAAGCTAGGTTCTGATTCAGTATAATTTTGTACCGTTTAGTGCATGGAAAAACACTGGAAAACGTTTTGTATCCTGAACCATCATGAAATGGTCCAATTGCGATGTGATGTCTATCCATCAAAGCAGCAGCTTTGTGCTAAAGGTAATGTGACTTTGATTTAAATGTGATGCTAAGAAGTAGTGCTGGGGGTTGGTGTTTGCCAATTTAACATGCTCTGCCTTGTTGGGTATACAAAATGTAGGCGCACTTCATTGTGCCTGAAGTAAGCAACAAGGCTACAGAAAACACAGGTTATGCTTCCATCCTTGTAAGACAAATTGCATTGGTGACAATGAGACCTGTAATAAGCTTACTGTGACATCTCTGCTAAATTGTGGGTGGACAATCTTGGCCCTTGGCCTGTTTTCATGTGGCCCTCTTCAAGCAATCAGTTAAGCCAGGAATAGTATCCGTCCTCCTCCCCAGCAGGTTGCTGGATGTGGAGGAAGTGAGAGAGAAGGGTTGTCAGAAAGAGAACCCTGGGGTGGTTTTGTCCATTTGGCTCTGGCTTTAGGCTCTGCCCACTAACAGTGGATGAGTGACAAGTCCTGAAGAAACACAGCCCATTCACAGAAAGATTGTTCACTTCTGCTGAATGGAGATAGAAGGTAAATAGGCTTGCTTTAGTGACAAAATCCATTCCAGTATTAGCAGACCACGTTCACAGAATTCAGAGGAGGGAAAAAATAAGTCATTTTGTCCCAAGCAGGGGCAGTATACTCACTGGCTCCCTACAGATGAAACTTTACCTTGCACTGACTAGAAGAGTGTACTTGGTGGTGATCTACCTTGTTTATAGCCAGGATACGTGCTTGAAGTGTTAAACTTTCATGCTAATATATTGGCCCATAAATGAAATTCTATGCTGATTTTTTTAAAACCCTCTCTTTTTTTAAAGGAATCCAGATAATGAACACCTGTCACCTAAATTGGTAAGAAACTATTATGCCTGAAACATAAACATTGCTAGTGGATATATATTTCAGCTTGATGATGTTCTAATTATTGGTTGCTGCTTGCCTAACCTGCTTCACTGTATAAAGGGAATTATGCAGATATGTTCCATTCCATCTCTCTGGAAGAGACGGAACTTTAAAGGCACTATCTGTTGTCAAAGTGATCATATTTTTCACAGTAGAAGCTATGGGTAAAGATAAAGGGACCCCTGACCATTAGGTCCAGTCGTGGCCGACTCTGGGGTTGCGGCGCTCATCTCGCTTTATTGGCCGAGGGAGCCGGCGTACAGCTTCCGGGTCATGTGGCCAGCATGACTAAACCGCTTCTGGTGAACCAGAGCAGCGCACGGAAACGCCGTTTACCTTCCCGCCGGAGCGGTACTTATTTATCTACTTGCACTTTAATGTGCTTTCAAAATGCTAGGTTGGCAGGAGCAGGGACCGAGCAACAGGAGCTCACCCCGTCACGGGGATTCGAACCGCCGACCTTCTGATCGGCAAGTCCTAGGCTCTGTGGTTTAACCCACAGCGCCACCCGCGTCCCTTAGAAGCTATGGTAAAGAATTGTTAATGATGATTGGCAAGATGTTCAACTGCTCTGAAAAGAGTGAATGATAAACAGCCATTCTGAACAAACTATAGGAACAGCTAGTCCAAGTTAAGTATGTAGGCTGCTGGCTGTTGTATTCTTTGCAAAGGAGGCTTCCTGGAACTTTGATAGCCAGGTGACAAGTGGGACCAATGAATGTACTGCTGTGTAGCTGGCTCTCAGTTCTTGCCTGGAAGCTAGGCAAAGCCCTCATTTGCAAACCGTATGGTGAATAGCATGAGGAATCTCCAGGAAGCAGATTCTGCTGAAGCGTCGTTGGGATACCCTAACAGCTTTTGCTTGACATGTGCTGGCTCTTTCAGGTAGAAAATTCAAATGGCATGAAGCTGCTCTAGTTTGGAACAGAAGGACATGGAGGTATGTGACCTTATTTTCGCTTAACATATGGCCTAGGGCAGGGACAAGTGCAGGTCCTTGTCTGGCCCTTGAGACTTTTCCCAGACTGTACACCTCACTAGCCCTTTCTTTGTGCTCCCCTGTTTCTGGCTGGCTGGAGTGTGTCCTTGAACTCTTGATATGCTTGCCTGCCTGGATAGAGGATAGGGAGGGAATATGTAGAAAGGAGCCTACAGTACAAAGGTAAAATCACATTTGTTCTGGCATTTGGACCCCTGACCCTGGGGGAGGAGGGAATATAAATAACAAACAATATGCAAGTACTTTATGGTTTTCCAGTATAGCTCAAGTGGAATCAAGGTAACAGAATGTACATGTTACTTGATTATAGCTGTACATCTCAACAATGTATTAACTAAAACGCAAAGTTCTGGGAAGAAAATAATTTGCTTTGTGTGTGGAAAAAATAAATGGACAGAAACATGTGACACCTTATCAGCCTAATAGTATATAATATAAAACACTAAACGTTAATGTTGAGGTCTATCCCGATGCCACCTTGCCGTAGGTTCCTATCGTTGGAAATACCTCACAGAGGAAACTTGTGGTTTCGCTTTACCCACTAAACTGTATGTTAGCTTAGTGGGATAAAACTGCAAGACAGCAAATTATTGGGTACTTGCAGCTCTCACTGTGTGAAATTGAGCATTAAGAAATGTCTGTCTGTCTGCAGGCATGGACTTGGTCGATAGCATGTGATGCAGCTTGGAAAAACAATCAGCTTGAAAAGGTAATGTTGCCCTTAAGTATTTGCTGTATTGTATTTGTAACCAAGCTGTATTAAACAAAACGTTAGCCACAGTAACAGACAACCTCCTGTTTCTTCATATTAAATATAATATGCAGGTAGCGCTAACATGCGCAATGACCCAAAATGCAGTTCGTGTGTAAATGGGGAGTTGCCTGTATACAAGGCTATTGGGAACTGTATGTAATGCTTATTTTTAGTCTTTGACATCTTCCATCACTTGTGAAACACATGTTTCACAGTACCACAATTTTTAAAAACTCTTTGGGTGGGTGTATTACCTGGTCTCTACCAAGGCTGCTAGGAAATATCATTTCTGGTATGCTGTGGACGTGACCATAAAATAAACTCCTTCAGATTTTTATTGTTGCTATGGTAGCATCAAATCTGTTGGAAACATCTTGACAGAAGCTAGGAGCATGTGGCCAATAGTTTGAACCACTGCTGCAATTCAAAGTTGGGTTTCCTAGAGCTACTTAATCCTAATCTTGTGCTAACATTTGTTTTCCAGTGCTACTAGACAATCTACAAGCCTGAAAAGGAATCTGCAATTTAGGCAAATAAGCTCTGTCTGGTGCTAAAGGTAAATATTATAGGTGCTGTTTGAAGTGCTTGTTGCAAGGTCACTTCAAAGAGGGCTGTATGCTGTTGAACAAACGGCTCTTAACGCAATGACCTAATATGGAAATCCTTTGCAGGATGTCAGGGGTACTTTATATGTACTCTGTGGTCTATCCCAGAGGAGACATGTGCTGGAATCCACTTTAGGCAGCTGCTTTGCAGGGAAATTTGGAGGGTCCTTGGTTGAATTTTGGTCTCCCCAAAGGGACGTTTTATGGAAAGGTCCATTTGAGTTGAACTCTTAAGTCACCGAAATTGGAGGAAGTACATCTCCAATATTAACTATGGGCTGGTTGGAAGGGAATGAAACCACACTGGTTTTATAATGTATTCACTATTTTTCTACACGTTTAGGTACCTTAACAGCTGGATAGAAAATGGAAGAACACGCCGGGGTGCTCTTTTGTCAGACAGCTTTTAAATTAAACAAATTGGTTTTCTTAAAGCTTCAAAAGTTAAACTTGCGGAATTCTAAAATGTCTGCTCAATAAAAAAGTCCTTGCTGGAATGGTGTGTTGGTTTTCTGTATTAATGAAGCTTGTGCTTATTTGAGTTCGTTCCTGCTCCCTTTTCTTTACAAATGCTGGACTTTTCTCACACTATACAACCCATTTGACCACTCCATGAGATTCTGGGATCACAGTGAGAAGCTGTCTCAGATTATTGATCTACATGTACAATGCAGGACTGATAAAACTATCTGAACGTGGCCTGCTGTTGGACACAGCAACATAACCACTGTGCTTGGAACTGGCTTTATCTACCTGGAGTTGCAGGAAGGGTCATTTAGTCCAACCCCCCTGCAATGCCAGAATCTTGGCTCTAAGCATCCATGTCAAATGGAGGTTTTTAAGCAAAGGGGATGGCCAAGGAAGGAGAATCCACAACCTCACATGTATCCACCTTCCCTTGCTGCAGCTATACCAAGAAGGTGGAGACTGATGGGCTATCACATGGGTAGGCAAACTAAGGCCTGGGGTTCAGATCCGGACCAATCGTCTTCTCAATCTGGCCCGCGGACAGTCCAGGAATCAGCGTGTTTTTACAGGAGTAGAATGTGTTTTATTTAAAACGCATCACTGGGTTATTTGTGGGGCACAGGATTTTTTTCCCTCCCCAAAATATAGTCCATCTGCCCCCCCCCCAGGTCTGAGGGACAGTGGACTAGCCCCCTGCTGAAAAAGTTTGCTGACCCCTGGCTAGCATATAAAGCACCCTGCCAAGCAAGCCCTGTCTGTAGTTGGCCCAGCTGGCAGTGGGCCCCTGGGAAAGAGCAGAAGCTGCTGAGGATGATAATACTTTTGAGTCCATACATGTTAAGCCCCACTAAGAACACTTACATGCTGTGGCTCTTAAGACGTGCACTTCAAGAGAACAGTGAATACTTTGCTTAAAGCCCAAAGCAAGTACAGGTAGTGGACCTTCTGAATTGATCTGTTTAGCTCTGGTAAGATTAATCTGTTCCCTCCCCCGGCAGCTTGTTTCCATTTTGTCTCTAGCCCTTGACAAGAAATGCCCCTCATTTCAGAGTACTGTATTTTTCGCCCTATAGGACGCACCTTTTCCCCTCCAAAAATGAAGGGGAAATGTGTGTGTGTCCTATGGGGCGAATGCAGGCTTTTGCTGAAGCCTGGAGAGTGAGAGGGGTCAGTGCACACTGACCCCTCTCGCTCTCCAGGCTTCAGGAAGCCATCCGCAAGCCGTGGGAGCCCGCGGGAGTTCCCCCCGGGCTCCCACGGCTTGCGCAGCGCTGCTTGCACCCCGAAGCCCTGGCGCGCTGAGCAGTCGCGCCGGGGCTTCAGGTAGCTCTGCGCAAGCCATGGGAGGGCTCCACCGGCTTGCGCAGAGCTGCCTCTTATCCCGAAGCCCCGGCGTGCTGAGCAGTCGCGCCGGGGCTTCGGGTAGCTCTGCGCAAGCCGCAGGAGGGTTCCCACGGCTTGCGGAGAGCAGCCTGTGCTGGGGTCGGGGGAAGCTCGGGCTTCCCCCGCCCCAGCCTAGCGCCCTGGGGGGGGTATTTTTTTCCCCTTTATTTCCCCCCAAAAAACTAGGTGCGTCTTATGGGCCGGTGTGCCCTATTGGGCGAAAAATATGGTAAGTTGTCATGAAATGACAGGTGGTTATTTCTACTGATGGGGCTGCTCCAATGAACCCAAATCTCATTTCCATTTTCAGTAATTCTGGGTTTGGGTGCTGCTTGGGGCTACTGTCCCAAGATGCCAGACAGAAGCAGGTCCCTACTTTCTCTTACAGCCTGTCGACTGGTGGCAGTTCCACTGTTAGAATATCCAAAGGGTAGGATGGGAGCTGTTCTTAAAAAGTAGTTGGTGCTTGCATAGCTGCTTTTGGGTTAAAGCCCCATTTCATGTGCTGGTCATTGCACACTGAAAGCCCAAAGTGAATTAGAAGATAGCTACAACTGTGACTCTCATTGTTCTGCCAATGACTTGTAACTTTCTGGTGGTGGTTTAACAAAACCAAATGCACTAAATTAGTGCAGTATGTTTTAAGTTTCATAGTCCTCTTTTAAAAGTAAGAAAGTATTTCCTTTCAACATAAGTTTTCCCTTGCTAAAACAAGCTCAATACCTAAATGTTAAAATTTTATTATAAATAACAAAGTGATACAAAAGCGGGGGGGGGGGGGAGCATGTGAAGTTTTAAAAAAACATTCCTTGATTTAAAAAGTCATAATTGTAGAAAATATGGCAATTCACCCTATACAGCTTTGGCCATATTGACAAATTATCCAAATTGAATGTAATATATATAAGGCTGGCACACCATATATTTACAAAGGTGACCTTGAGTCGTTTTTTTACTTTGCAGCGAAGAATTAGTCCACCTGGAAGTCCCTTCTGAAGCACATTATTTTTTCGCTGCTTTTCTGGCTCTTAGGTTTTCCAGTGTTTTCTGTATTGAGATGGGAGGAAAAGTCAACTGTCAGCTAGGGAGTCAGCAAATAAGATGCACATAACCCACTCAATGGGTTTCAAGGATGATCAATGAGCTCTTTCCCCTAATAAATAGCTCTAGATTATTTCTCAATTTTAACTTAAAAGTCATACTTATGCTTGCAAAAATCTTAAGATTTCACAGAATAATAATGTAGCACCAGCTGCTTTTTCATTTCGGTGCATACAGCTTAGGCCCTAAGTATCTTCTTCCCTATGGACCTGCCCATCTGTTCCATGGGGCCCTCTTGACTGCCACATTTTGTACATGTCAACATGGGAATGAGCATTCTTGAGGCAGGTGCCCTGATTGTGGAACTCCCTTTCTCTTTGAATACAGCTGAGTTTTCAGCATCAACTGAAGACCCTCCCAATTGTTCAGGCCATTGTGAGCTCTGCTGATTTTGCTATTACGATTATTTTAAACACTGCTTGTATTTTCTGCTGTCATGCACTCTGGGATCACTCCTGCAATAAGCAGGTAAGAAATACCTGGAGGCTGAATGGTTTCTCTATTCAGCCTTCCAGACTCCCCATGCCACACCCCAATGTCCTTTTGCCATGATGGAGGGGAGTGCAGGGTACCATCCTTGTGTGGCAATAATGTAGGCTACTGTACAAAGGCAAGCTATTGCTCCACCCACTTATTGCCCTGCTTACCACTGATATTTCCCTCCCTCCTCCCCAAAGGTTGTCCAAGAGAGAATGCATGCCTTGGGTTGAAAAAACCCTGCTTCAAAACCACATGGAGTTTGCAAGCATTTTACCTTTTGAAATGCCTTTGCTCTTTCCCGGTTTTTGGCATAGTTTTCTCGTCGCTCTCTCTCCTGCTTTCTGGTTTTCACTTCAGCTAGATTATTATACAACCTGCCCAAAGGTTTTAAAAAGTGCACATTAGTTTACTCAAAGCTCCATATAGTTAAAGCTATAGTTCTCCCAGTAGTGATGTATGGAAGTGAGAGCTGGACCGTAAAGAAGGCTGATCGCCAAAGAATTGATGCTTTTGAATTATGGTGCTGGAGGAGACTCTTGAGAGTCCCATGGACTGCAAGAAGATTAAACCTATCCATTCTGAAGGAAATCAGCCCCGAGTGCTCACTGGAAGGACAGATCGTGAAGCTGAGGCTCCAATACTTTGGCCACCTCATGAGAAGAGAAGACTCCCTGGAAAAGACCCTGATGTTGGGAAAGATGGAGGGCGCAAGGAGAAGGGGACGACAGAGGACGAGATGGTTGGATGGTGTTCTTGAAGCTACCAGCATGAGTTTGATCAAACTGCGGGAGGCAGTGGAAGACAGAAGTGCCTGGCGTGCTCTGGTCCATGGGGTCACGAAGAGCCGGACACGACTAAACAACAACAACAACAGCAGCCCAAAACACTCTCCAGAGGGGGGATTAGACAATAAAATATGAATTATGAGGCACTTTTATGAATAATAAGGGGCTTTTAGGCAGCTCTTGTTTCAATCTGAAATGGGAGCATGAGGCTTTTCAAGTCTCCAGACCCTCCCATTTTAAATTTCCAAGGCACAGCTTAAAAGGAGAGGTGGTTGGAAACTTGCAAAGCCATGTATTTGGCAGATGGGCAGCCTCACCCACCTGTGACTGACAGCTGAGGATTGTTGCTACGTTGGGAAGTGCAAGAGTCTTCCAACCAACTTGGGTGTTTTTCAAATGCACCCCCATGTTTTTGTTTAGGGGAGGGGAAAATCAGTCAATTTCTCAAAGTAATATTGCCTTCAAGCAAAAATCAAGTAGCTTGGTCAGCTAAACTAGTTCGGTTCCTGCCCAATGTGGCTCCCATAATACCTTGAAGTGCGTTGGTACATCTGAGCTTCTGCTGCCTTCCTGTCCTCTGCGGAACACACTTTAAAGTCTTCTACTTTCTTCATATGTACAGCTGCTGCACCTTGGAGTTAACCAGAACACACTAAGTTTAACATAAAGTTCATGAGACCACATTCAATAGGCAGTGGTTTTCCCCAGAGCAACTATATATTTTTCATTCACCATGGAATAGGAAATGGACTGCAGCAATGTTTGAATTTTAACCCACACTGAACAAAGTGGGGAAGGCATAACAACAGCATGCCGGATCTGACCAATGGCCCATCTAAATCCAACATCATGTTCTCATAGCAGCTGACCAAATGCCCATGGGAAGCAACCAACACTCTCCCCAGCAACTGATAAACTGTTCTATAAGGACCCAGGGTGAGCGGAATACTTTGTAAAGCATCTCTTAAGTGGTTGAGTATTTCAAGGGGAAAAGGTCCCTTAATAACAATAACTATGAGAAGAAAACATATCGGCTTATTCCATTCCTTGGTATCTCTGTCCCCCTTTCTAAAGCTCTGAATGGCTTGCTAATAAAATTACCAGGAGGCGACAAGTTCCCTCTTGGTTTATGAAGATGTGCTTCTTTCTCTTGAGATGCCTGAGCAGGAGGCTTTTCAGAACTTCGCTTTCTGCTTTTGATCTTCTCTACTCTTTTACAGGATCTCTCAATGAAATCTTTCTTCCGCCTGAAAAACGCTTCCTGCAAGCTCTCGGTGGCA